TTTGGATTATGAAAACTCGTTTCTATGGTATTAATTCGCGGATTAGAGTTGTAATTGAGGGTAAAATTAGAGAAATTAGGGCTTAGAAACCTAGGCCTTTGATTGAGGATTTGAAAGACCATTTGTGGTCGGATTTTGAAACTTTTGATATGTATGAACTCGTGGGGAGATAAGGAATCTAATGATGTGAATTTTATCGAATTCAGAGACGTGGGCCCGGGGGTCGGGTTTTGGTAATTTTGGGATTTGCATGGTTTTTCGATTAATTTCGAGTGGGCTTTGTCCCTTTAGCATAATTTAATGATTACGCTCTGATTTTGGTAGATTCAAAGCATCCGGAGGCCGATTCAAGGGGCAAAGGCATTGCGAGCTAGATTTTGAGCCGGATTAAGGTGAGTAATAATTTTAAATGTTGTCCTGAGGGTATGAAACCCCGGATTACACAGCGTTTGGCTATGTTGAGGTGACGCACACGCTAGATGACGAGCGTGGGGTCATGCACCATTGGGGATTGTGACTTAGTCCATCTCGAATGACTGTTTTACTGCGTATTTGATAGCTAATTGTTTGATATTATTATGTTCTGGGCTAAATGCCATATTTGGGCTTCGTGCCAACTGTTTGGACCCTTAGGGGATCTTTACTCATACTTTTCCTCACTGTTTGATTTCATACTTGTGCTCAGTCATACCATATTTTACTGCTTTCAAAACTCAGCCATGTTACTCTGTTTTAAACACTTTAAATGATATTTTAAAAGATATTTTGAGCTGAGCATCATGTTTACTGTTGCCCGAGGGGCTTATAAGATTCTGACTGAGTAAGGCCGAGGGCCTGTATTGTGAGATTACTTTTTTGTCGGGCTGCACGCCGCAACGGTGATATACTGATTATGATAATAAGACCGAGGGCCTGAGATTGTACGCCACGAGGTGGCTTGAGATTGATATCAGGCCGAGAGCCTGTTTATTATGCCACGAGATGGCTTGATATTACGCTTGGGCCGTAAGGGGGCCCTCCCGGAGTCTGTACACCCCCAGTGAGCGTGGTACCCATTGAGATATGAGATATAGCCCGAGGGGCTGGTATTGTTATGTGATATTGCCCGAGGGGCCGATTCTGTTGTTACTTTGCCCGACGGGCAGTTCTTATGTGTTTATCATTTCTAGTTGTCTTTCCTATATATTGTTTGACTGCTTAAAAGGTGTTTTATGAGATTTCACTGTTTAATTATGTTTATTGATTTTTTTTTGCCTCTTATAGCTTAATGTTGTGTTTAACGTGATTTTATATCGCTCAGTCTTCATTTATTGCTATTACTCACTGAGTTGGAGTACTCACTTCACTCCTTGCACTCCTGTGTGCAGATTCGGGCGCTACAGGTCCTGCTAGCGAGGGTTGAGAGCTGTCCAGCAGATTTCCGGAGATTTACTAGGTAGCTGCCCGGCGATTTTGCAGCCCAGTGCAATCTCCCTCTATCTTATTTCCTTTCTGATTCAGTTATGTAGTAGTGGAGTAGACTTTCAGACTTGTAGTATTATTTTAGATGCTCATGACTGGTGACACCCCGATGTCGGGCTGTGTTGGTTTGAAATTCCGCAAATTATACTATTAACCTTTATTTTAGGATTTTATTTCTGCTAAAAACTTAGTATTTATTATTTTAAATTGCTTAAAGTGAATTGGAAGTGTGTCGGTTGGCCTTGTCTTCACGAGAGGCGCCATCACGACCGGGTCCGGGTTTAGGATCGTGACACTTGCTCAATAATTTGATTTAGAGCATAATTTCCATATTTTTTATTCAAGATAGTTCATCTTGATAAGTTGGTTTACATCACAGTTGGTTTAGAAAAATAATTTATTGAGTTCCTCCACTTAATAGCTAAACAATTGCTTATGAGAACAAAGTTATCTATATCAATCTGATATACGTTATATACCAAAGTATATTATTTTCTCCCCTCACAAGTGGTTTAGGGTCAGGAACCAAATAATTCTATCTCATTATTATTGATGTGCGGTGTATATTTTGATTAACAGCATAATGCACAAAGATAGGCTTTTAAAGTTGAGGAAGCAAGTTAATTTTTCTAACATGAGGGGGAGACAGGATAAAGAGTTGAGAAAAAGTTACTTGGAATGAATTATCATGTGTACATCTAGATCCTCGAATAAAATAATATGAACTTGAAGTTCATAAAAAGATAATTCATTTTTAATATATTGCAAAGCGTGTCAGACGCATTTGCTGACCCAAAGAAAGTAACTATATTCTCGTTGCAAATGCTCATATTAAGTCCTAGAAGGACAAAGTCTATGGTACACTTAAAGCATATAGACATATCGGTTTCAAATAAACTTCTTGATAAAGAAGATGAGCAAATGATCATAATAAAGGAGGCAAGTGACCTAGAAGATCACATGACATAACATTTCATAAAATCTCAGGAAAGATTTAGGTACCTGAATATATGAATGAAGAGATCTCTATGTTATGTCTATATGAAAAATATTGGAACCGATATAAAATATTTTGTCAACGACATCTATAATAGCATTAAATATATATGAGGATCTTAAGTTTGAAGAAACAATTCAAGTAGAATTGGTTTCATATGAAAGACATATAGTTTTGGACATGCAGTTCAAACACTTGAAAGTATAAAGTCAATGGTGTGTGCAATTACCTTTATCTATCTTATATGTCTAGCATGAGATAAAAACTTGATGTGCATCTAAAGTCCATTCATATGGCTTATATGATTTGACTTATATGACAATCCATGAAGAATTTAAATTGCTTAAAGCATATAAAATTCTTGGTCATGAAGTACTACATATCTTGCTATAACTATAAGCATGATAATACGATAGTGAGAGTCTTTACCCCTATATGAAGATATTGGAATGAAGATTCCAACAAGATCATATGAAGAGAATACATTTCTATCAGGAATGATGATTTTAAGGTGAAACAAATTCATTCAAGTTAATATGACTGATTTGTTTATCGAATCCATTCCAATAATTTTTGAAGATGGTGCATAATATTGGAATGCAAATACTCAAATATCTGAATTGATGCTCTTATCAGGGAGAGTTAATACGCGTTGTACACTTTTTTCCTTACAAGGTTTTGTTCCACTGGGTTTTCCTTGCAAGGTTTTTGATGAGGCAACCAAAAGGCGTATTGTTAGATATGTGTACTCTTTTTCCTTCTCTAAAAATTTTTCTCCCATTGAGTTTTAGTTTAGTTAAGGTTTTAACGAGGCATATTATCTGCTGAATAGACATTCAAGGGGGAGTATCATAAATAGTAATTTATTTTTGGCGAATGTCTATATTTTAGAGAGATTTTAGGGTTTGTTACTTGGTGGCTAAGTCACTTTTTCCCTATAAATAGAGGGGTTTTATTCCATTGTAATTGATCTCAAAATTAATAAGAATTCTGTCTCCCTACTTTTCTCTGCAATGCTCTTCTTCTTCTTTTATTGTTTTATTACACAAATTAAATAATTAATTATCTTTTATTATTTTATTACACAAATTAAATAATTAATTAAGAGGGTATCTGCAAAAGGATAGACGCACTCAAACAGACAAAACTATTCCAAGGAAAGGAACTTTTCCTTTTGCCACCTTTTGACGCAGAATTCAAGATTTCAAGAATAGTATACTTTGATTCAGTTCATGGCAAAATAGTATTGAACAATGAACAAGTTAGGAATACAGTAATCAGACAGCTTCTTCATATTTATAGGCAAGCAGGAACCACAAACCATTTATGAACGACTAATGCAATCTCGATTTCTGAACTCACTCTCTCAATTCAAAATCAAGAACGTCTATATTCTGAATCAGTCATTGACCAACACAACCCTATGGTGTGTCTAAGCATCCTGTTCGGGTGCAAGCACTCTTCTGCCAAATCACTTTTATTCTCGGCACTGATAATTATAGGATCCCTTATTGGTTTGAAAATACTATGTTACTCCATTTATCAGCTGCGGAAGAGAAGGCAATCTCAGAGCAATCACCGGGCTTCTGATGCAGGAAGGGAATTACAATTGCAGCCACGACAAAGACAGCAACAGATTTAGATGAGTTAAACCTTATTGTTTGAAAGCAAATTCATTATTTTACCAGTAATGCACTTGTCTCAAACAGACAATTTGCTTGCCTCAATTCTATCTTGTTTCGTAGTTTTACAAGGTCTCTTACTCTATCACTGAACTAGTGTTTTACTTTCTTCAATCAAGAATGTCACAAGGCTGGCTAAATGTTGAAATTGTAGGCCAAACATTTTCACTAATGTCCTTTTTTCTCAAACTCTCAAATACTGGAACAGTTTACTGATATGTTACTGTACTGAATTGTGTAAATTGTTTTTAAACAGTTAGAAAGAAAGACACAACTTCCCCACAAATAAAAATAGAAGGATTGCGTACGATGAGCAACCACCCTTCCCCCCGGTCTAGAAGAAAAAAAGATAAGTATGTAGAGTCAATTTAAATGGCATGGTAGTTGTTGGATAACGCCAACATCCTGACTATGGCAAGGCCTACGAGGGGGCTGAGGTGGGCACGGTTGGAGTTATAAACGAATATGGCGCTTTCTTGGTGAGCTTGGTTAAAAAATAAAGTTGCGCCCTTACTATCTGCTATAGCTTTTGGCATTGATGGTAAGCGGTTGATTCTAAAAAGTGGTATCAAAGCCTCTGTAATGGGTTCGACTCCCAAGAGCAACATGCTGCAAGAGGCAGGTATTGGGAGGGGGATTGTTAGGTAACGCCCTGCCAATGCAAGGCCCGCGAGGAGGCTGATGTGGCCCAATGTTGGAGTCATAATCGAACATGGCGCTTGCTTGGTGGGCTTTGTTAAAAAATAAAGTTTTGCCCTTGCTATCAATAGCTTTTAGCATGATGGTAAGCGTTTGATCCTATCAATAGTAAATATCAATTAATGCAAATTAAAAGGAAAAATTAATTATAAAATTTGTACTAGAAAATTTATCTATTGCTAGTAGCTATATATATGGTGCTGTATCTCAATCTGCAAGGACATGGTACAAAGAATTCATTGGCCTTTTCTACTCTGTATCTCAAAGTTGAAACCAGGGCAAAATCCGTAACCATTGTCACAAACAAGTCAGCAGTCAGGTGATACTCTGCACTTGCTAATTAAAATCTTGGATCCGTCTCTAGTTGTAAAACATACACTTGCAAGAAAATTAAAAGAGTGTCGTCCATATTTAAGCGATCTCAAAATAATCACAAGCATTCTGTGAAGAACCTTTGCCTGTATTATCGCTGCTACTGCTGGTGCATCTCACACGCCACATCTTGATAACTCCATCAAGACTTCCAGTGCAAATGGTGCAACCATCTTCACTCTCCTCATTGTTCACACGTCCAGGGAAAGCTGTAACGCACCTAATCGGTCCTCTGTGACCTTGCAAAATCGCGACGCAAACATGTTGACAATCTTGCTCCCTAAACCAGACCCTGCATGTTGAGTCTGCAGAGCCACTGATTAAATAGTTAGTCGTACTGGACAAGCACATTACAGCATGTGTATGTCCAAGAAGTGCATCCCCATATTGTAATTGCCCCGAAAACCAACCTTTTATCCAATAATGAATGTAACCATCACTGCAGCCACCATAAAGTACCCCACCATCAGTTGTTAATGCTAATGTCTTTACTGGTGAACATTTAGCTGGTAGTGTCACAGTAAGGGAATGTGGTCTATCTCCACTACAAAAATTACGTCGCCATACTCGGACTGTGGCATCATCAGAAGCAGTATAAAGGACACCATCATCACCAAGAACAATGGCGTTTATCGGATCGTTATGGGCTTGGATTGTCTCTATGCATTTGAGATCAGAAATTCTCCATACTTTTACTGTTTTATCAAGGGAAGCTGAGTAAAGTATATCATCTGATATGTTAATTGCCAGTGATGATATTGGCCCCAGGTGCTTCATCTGTCATAATTCATTAAAAGGCATTTAATTTTTCTATCTACAGCACTATTCTGGTCATATCAAGACTTGAAGTATGCATTAAACTAGATGCTTTCGAAATGTGCTAAATTTGACACTTGTGTGCTTTAATCACAAAGCTGTAGTTGCATATAGTAATAAATATGTTCCCAGCACTGTCCATGTCAAGGTTTGGTTTGCTGCAATTAATACAGCCCTAAAAGATATTCAGGCTTCAACTTTTTCCAGTCCAAATCAAACTGGATACAGATGTCTGCACAAATACGAAATCTGATGAACTAAAATTTCACAGCAACTGATATTAAAGGCAGCCTGGTACACTAAGCTCTCGCGCATCGCGGGGTTCGGCGAGGGGTTGGACCATAAGGGTCTATTGTACGAAGCCTAACCCTGCATTTCTGCAAGAGGCTGTTTCCACGGCTCGAACCTGTGACCTTATTTTACCAGTTACGCCAAGGCTCCCCTTCCCGCCACTGATATTAACTAGATGGAATTTTCCTACTTGCTGTTGGCACATAAGCTTTAAGACTAACACAACTTGTTTGCAAAAATGTATGTGTTGGTATAGGCCATGACTGTCCCACGAATATCCCTATTTTGTATTTTGTACAGAGCAGTATGCCAGCTTACACAGTACGTCCTACCATAACCATTAATGCATATGCATTAACAACAATTAACTACTACAACAAAAAGATAAAATGCAAATAGAAACTCATATATCAAAAATGAATAAATAATGTATATTACCATCTTATCTCTAGCAGAGATATAGCTCCGGACAAAGCTTCCAACCTTAGGAATAGTAGCAACTCGGACATGCTTGATGACATTTTCCCAAGTCCTACGCCAAACCCGAATCTTACAATCCGCATAAGCTGCATAAACCATATCATTCGACACTTGTAACGCAACAACCATAGACCCCCTCGTCTTAAGATGATCACATTCAGTAAACTCTGGCAACTTCCAAACACGTATTACATTAGCCTCAGACCCTGTATAAACGAGACCATTTGACGTAGCAACAGACAAGATCTGTCCATCTTTCTTTAACACAGATGAAATGCACCTGTAAGTTGTTTGAAAGTGATGATCATCGGCTAATTTTGGATTGTTGAGCGTGAAGGAAAGTCGTGGAGTTGAAGGTTGAGAGTTGTGGAGGCATGTATTGGAAGAGAGTACTGAAGTGCTTAAACGAGGTGGGCTATAGGGAAGATTTTCGGAGAAATTAGAAGCTTCTTTTGTAGAAATACTTCTCAAGAAGCTGTGATTAGGTCTTATGGCGAAAGATAAAGCTGAAGCAGGGGAATTTGGAGCCTCAAAGTCTATTGCTGAGGCCATGTCGTCTATTTCTAGATCTCTCTACTTCAACGGACCTAATGAAGGAAATGCTAATATTGAAAAATTGAAATGGTGTAATGTATTGGTGTTACTGAAGTTTTATTGCTCTCAACTGCCAGCTACCCCACAATGACGAAAACACTTGTAGAATTCATCCAGCCAATCAATTTTTTCAATTTTTTTTTTTTTTTTTTTTTGCCAAGAAAATCCTTTAAAAAAAATTAACCTAAATAGTCGTTCACTCAATCACTTAAATTAAAATAGTTGTCAAATATTTAATTCATGTATAATTTGTGTGTAATCATGTATATTTAGTGTTTTATGTTACCGGCTACGAAAATAAAACGATAAATCCGTCCTGCTATTTCTGTAAAGATCATCTTTTTTTAGTTTCACCCAATTGCGAGCGAAGTGGGTATCAAAAACTTACATAATTAGATCAATCATAATGCAAGGACTTTAAGTTATATATATTGACAATATAATAAATTTGTTATACAATGTGTTTGACCTATTTGTAGACAATAAAATTGCATCGAGAAAATAAAATCAAGACCGAAAAATATTGTAATAATCGTAGTATTTGATTTCAAATAATATGAGTGTACAATCTCTATGAATCCTCCGATTCTTCTTTTCAATAGTAAATAAATTCAACGGCCTTTGAGCTTGATTTTGAATATGTAGCTGTTGCCACGAACGATGATCTTGTTCTTGAGCTTGAGCTTGATTGCTTGAGCTTGACCTTGATTTGTTCTTCGTTCTTGAGCTCTTTCTTGCTTCTTGTTATAACTTTTGGTGTCTTTTCTGGGATGAAGACCCCTATTTATAGTTGTGGAAGCTAAGGGAGGAGTTATGATAAGAACAAACTCTTTCCGGCCAATCAAATTGAAGTGTGACATAGCCGCATTTGACTAGCCAAAACATGTCACTCGCACACGTGACGCGATTATATTAGCCTTTTAATGTGACTTGGCATGCCTTGTCATTTGACACGTGATGATCCTATTGGCTCTTCCGCTTGATTTGGCGTGCCACGACATATAACACGTGGCACCAAACTGGGTCTCTAGGTAGATGACATCTTGGGCTTAATGAAGTGAGCTCATCACTTTAGGCCAATTAACTGGGCTAGCCTAATGGATTAAGAATTACTTATTTAATCCATATATATTGAATTTGTATAATTAATCCAATTATATTAGCCCATAATATTTATTTGGACTAATACATACATACATACATACATACATACATACATACACATATATATATATATATATATATATATATATATATATATATATATATATTGAATTTAAATTCAATAAATTTTTAGATGCCTTCAAATACCCCTACTTCAAGATTTACTAGAGTGCACGCATGTTAGAACTTCAAAGACAAAGTCTTGAGGTAAACACTAAATAGTTTAAGCCCAAGAGTTTGAGACGTAATTTGTTTCTTAAATATGCCAAAAGCTACCGGACTTCAGAAATCTTTCACTTTCTTTAGAAAGATTTACGTAACAATATCAAATTTACGTAACTTCCAATCTCAAATTTCAAGGAAATTTGCTCCTAACAATTGAGCTTTAATTGCTACGAATATGATCACCTTTTTCAAGGTGAAGTAACGAATCATGCGAGTTAACTATAGGGCGCAAACTTACATCTTTGTCATTTCCAATAAGGAGACAAATACTACATGAGGAAAGGAATCCTATCCTTACAGTGACTCTTCTTTCTGTCCAAATTGAGTTCAATTCGGAGAAGTCTAGTGTCAACCGACCAGTGAATTTTCCTATTCCACATCGAGATAATTTCACCGGACAATCATCATTCATTAATTATATATAGCACTATACCCCTCTCGCAACCATCAATTGCAGTGTTCGCAAGTCGTATTGAGTCTACTTTTGAAGATTCGGAAGCATTAACGCGAAGATAATTTCTTCTTCTCTTGTGCTTTTCTTCCTTTGTTGCTTTTTTTTATTTTCTTTTTTTTTGTAGGTGAAACAAGAAGGATGTGTTCTTGTTTAACGAGATGATCCATGCATGAAGAAGAAAATCTTGGGGTGTGAGGGTATGAGTTCTCATCCTTGCCCGAATATCGGAGAGATTACTCTCATTGTGGCTCCACTGTCGGAGAGATTACTCTCAATGTGGCTCGACTATCGGAGAGATTACTCTCATTGTGCCCCGACTATCGGAGAGATTACTCTTAATGTGCCCCGACTATCGGAGAGATTACTCTCAATGTGGCCAGACTATCGGAGAGATTACTCTCAATGTGCCCCGACTATCGGAGAGATTACTCTCAATGTGTCCCAACTATCGGAGAGATTACTCTCAATGTGGCTCGATTATCGGAGAGATTACTCTCAATGTGCCCTGACTATCGGAGAGATTACTCTCAAGAGACTTACATGTCCACCTTAAGATTGGAAAGTATAGCTTCTTTTTAAGGACAAACCCTCGAAGAGGCCAACTTAAGGTGCAAATGAACTTATATGTCCACCTTAAGATTGGAAATTTATAGTTTCCTTTTAAGGAAAAACCCATGAAGAGGCCAACTTAAGGTGCAAAGGGACTTATATGTCCACCTTAAGATTTGAAAGTTATAGTTTCCTTTTAAAGACAAACCCACGAAGAGGCCAACTTAAAAGAGCGAAGGGACTCATATGTCCACCTTAAGATTGGAATATTATAAAGCTTCAACTCGAAGACTTCATGCACTTGACGATGTCAACTTGAACACTTGGAAAACTTTGAAGATTTGGCGGACTTTGCAGACTTCAACTTGAAGGCCGACAAACTTGAAGATTTGATGGATGTGAAGATCCGGTGGACTTTGACACTTCAACCTGAAGACTTTGAAGGCTCAAATACTTCCACTTGAAGACCGGCGAGTTTGAGGACCTCAACTTGAAGACTTTAAATATTTCCACTTGAAGACTGAAGAACTTGAAGACCGACAGACTTAAAGATTTGGCGAACATGAAGACATAGTGAACCCCTAGATTTCAGTGCAAATACTTGGCATCCTCCAAAAATCGTCCTATTGAAGATACCAATTTATCATGGAAAGTTGCCCCCTTCAAATCAAATGGGATCCAATGTTTAACAGAAGAATGGTATCTCAGCTCGATTTTCAAGTGCTGATTGAGTGAATTACACTCCATTGTACTTTATTCGGATAATGATTGGGGGGTTATGTATCTTTTGAACTTATGCTACTGAACTCAGAATTCAACTGTAAGTTTCCTACGTACCTCGGTGAAGAGGATCAAGTCATACCGTAGTTCTGAATGAGTGATTTTTTTTATGTCCTAACTTTTGCCTAGGCTGCCTCTTTTGAGGTTTTCAACCTAGGGGACTTTTTTTTGGGTCGTACACAGTTTAGACTCATGCGGGCTAGGAGTGTAGGAACATGCAGTTTAGGCTCGTGCATTAAGGAGACTAGGAACATGCCGTTTAGGCTCGTGCATCAAGGAGCGTTGCAACTTCAAGAATAATACTTCTTCAAAAACTTGTAATTGATAGGGCTGATTCTCATGGCATCTGCATCAACCAGCTTGTAAGCTCCACTTGAGTAAGCTTCTTGTACGACATATGACCCATCCCGTTTTGAAGTGAACTTCCCTACAGTTTTATGGGACGTAATAATGGGTCTTCGTATGGCAAGGACTTGATCTCATACTTGAAAGGATCTCGGGTGAACTCTTTTATTAAATGTGCGAGAAAATCAAGCTTGATAACATTCAAGACTCTGTTGATCTTTCAACCTCTTCTCATCAAGAGCCTCCAACTCTGCTAATCAAAGTCGAGCATTTTCTTCATCAGTGAACCCTTCATGAATAGCCAGTCGTAATGCAGGTATTTGACGCTCGAGTTGCAAGACGGCTTCGACTCCGTAAATGAGTGAATAAGGAGTCTCTTGTGTTGGCGTGCGGTGAGTCGTCGTATATGTCCATAGAGCTTCTTGCATACGGTCATTCCAATCTCGTTTTGATTTGGAGACAACTTTCTTTAACAAGTTGCATACAGTTTTGTTGAATGCCTCAGCTAGACTATTGGCGACAGCATTGTACATCGAATAGTTACGTTTCTTGAAGACAAAGAGATCACAAATCTTGTTCATCAACCTATTATTGAATGACTTTCCATTATCCGTTATTATGTAACGAGGAATGCTAAAGCAGTAGATTATGTTTACTCGGATGAAACTTGCAACATTTTCCTTCTTTACCTCCTTAAGACCAATAGCTTCAGCCTATTTTGAGAAGTAGTCAGTTGCAGCCAAGATGTATAGATGCCCACCATAGGACTTTGGCAGTGGTCCAACAACATCCAATCCCCAAGCGTCAAATGGCCAGGATACAACAGTCGGGTGCAACACTTTAGGAGGTAGATGAATAAAATTCGCATGGAATTGACAAGCCTTGCATCTTTTAGCGTAGTCCATCGTTGGCCAATAATAACCCATCCTTTTTATATGGAAGTGGAGCTTTGGTCCAGACTGGTGTGACCCACATACCCCAGAATGTTCCTCTTGCAAAGCTTGGAGTGCTTCTTCTTCCCCTAAGCATCGCAAGAGTATTCCCTCGAATGACCTTCTGTATAGAGTATCTTTGTAGTAAAGGAAGCGAGGTGCACGATGACGGATTTCAGTCCTTCTCCTCGGATTTTCTGGAAGTATCCCATAGCTTAAGTAGTCGACAATGGTTTGTCGCCATTCTTCTTTCTCAACTTCAGAAACAGCGACAAGATGAATGAGTTCATTTTCTTCACCTTCAGCCTCATTTGGCGGCGGTACTACCCATTTTTGGGAGACAGTAACTTGCGTTTGATCAGGCAGGGTTAACGATGAAGCTAGGGTAGCTAAAGCATCGGCCTTCTTGTTTTCTTTCCTTGGCACATGTTGAATAGTCACGTCACCGACCCATCCCATTGATTTTTTAGCATAATCATGATATGGGCGTAGTTCAGGTTTCATGACCTCATAACTACCTAATAGTTGGTTGATCACCAACTGAGAGTCACCAAAGACTTGCAGTTGTAACCGCTTTATTTCAACA